TTTTTTTTTAAACAAGGAGTCCATCATTTCCTGGTGTGCCATTGATAAACATTATTTGTAATATGAGATTCGCTTGTGGCTTTTTTAGTAGGGTGGAATTCATAATGCTTGGACAGAATTTTGAGAATGTTAAAATTCTTGTGCATTGTACTGTCGGATCGTGTTTGGTATTGTGATCGAATATGCTCTTATTGTTTGGGCTTTTGAACAGTTACGAGACATTAATAATCACGCAAAAATGTCATTTTTTTCCTTTCCATCTTCCTGTTGCTTTTGGACGCTGATGGTTGCAGTAAATTTGTTGTAGCCAGTCACTTAGCTTATGTCATTTCTCTATCATGTTTGGTTAAACTTAAAAGTCAAGTTACTTTTAAGTAATTTTTTTGTTTATAAAAGTTTGATATATTCATTTTCCATATAAATAAGTAGAAGAATTAGTTAATTTATCATGAGATTCAAATTTTACCGAAAGAGTTGAGCTTTGCTGGCTAGTCTCGCCCTGACGATGAATCATGGACGGGTCAAGCTAAGTTTTTCCGTGCAAGTCACTTGTCAGCTCGCATCAGCTCATCTAAGAGTGGAGAAGCAATAAATATAATAAGTATTTTATTTTTAATAAAATAATAGAAAATAATTTGTAATATTAAAAAAATCACTTCTCTAAAAAATCAATCAATTTTATCCCGTCTCTCCCATAGTATACAAGCATCTTGTTCACGAAAGATTTCTTGACCGAATTACATACTTCACAAATCAATCTAAAATCTTCAATTTCTTTATTCAATCACCATCATTGCTGATGACAAAGTTATCAATCGATATGGAAACCCCAAACCATCGAATCTCCATAGCTTCAAACAAGAACGTCCAGTTGCATGAACCCACAATGTCTTCGGAGATATTGGACCCCAAGAATGAAAATCTAGAGAGGCTAACTCGTCATATTACCCATTTCGTGAGCATCTTGACGAATTCAAAGGTTGTTCCACAGTTATCTCCTAATCACCCGTATCTATGAAGAATACGCCCAAAAACAACAAAGGTGAAAGCATAATATGGATACAATAGTATAATCATTAAAATACCCAAAATTGTTTGAAATATTTCA